GACTGGTATTGTGGGCTAGTATGAATGGAGAGGTTTAAGATAGAGTGAAATGGCCCTGAGAACTGGGGCTGTAAGTACCATTGATTGGGTCAGCAAGAGAAACGGAGTCCACTCATAAGCCCTGGCTTGTGAGATCCAGCCTGGAACTAACTGCATATATCTCTGCCCATGAAAAGAAGATGCAACCACCAGACCAGGGGTTCTACTTTCTGGTCTGTAAAAACATTTTATTCCATTAAAACACCAGCTTTATTCAACAATTTCTTTTTTCTTCCTTTCCTGTTATAGAACACAGGCTGGCCTTGAACTCCAGGCAATCCTCCAGACTCAGCCTCCCAAGTGCTGAGAATACAGAGGTGTTATCACCACATCTGGTTTAGGACATTTTTAAATGAATGATAACATTAGTGGATACAAAAACTAAATATTTTCTCATTTGATCAATTGTATATTTCTATTCTAAGTATTAAAAAAACAAAAAGCAACAAAAAGTGGGTAGAAAATTTTGAAAACCTTCCATGACAGAGAGCAGACCGAAAAAGATGGCCCTGATGGCACAGTCATTAATTCCAGCTAAGGCAGGAGGACAGCAAGCTCAAGGGCTCCCCAGGATACAGAGCAAGTTCAAGACCAGTCAGGGCAATTTCCAGAGTCTTTATTCAAAGGGGAGGGGGCATGTAGCTCGGAGTCAGCACATTTGTCTAGCATGCACCAGGCTGTGGAACTATCCCTAAAATGGAAAGAAGAAAACAGGTAGTAGAAACACTGGCTGATCTCAACTACCCACAGCTCAGACAGCAGACACTGGAGTGAAATCTCCCACACACAAAGATTTCAAGAAACCTGAAGCCTGACATTCATCAGCCCTAAGACAGACACTTAGGAGACACCTGACAGGAACAAAATGGAAAATAGGCCTGAAGCTTGGGAGAGTCCAGCACAGTACTGGTAACAGTAACTAGAGCTGTTAGCATTTTTATTTTTTGTAGATGCTCATCACTTTAGCAATAGTTACATTTGACTAACATTAAGTAACAAGGCAGGACTTTTTCTATTATAACTCACCTTTTACTACCTGTTCTGACCTAGAAATTAGATTTCAGCTATATAAGTCTCCCTACCATTTCAGTGTGAATTAAGTTTCACATTGGTGAGATGGCTTGCTGCACAAGCCTGGCAACTTGAATTTGATCCTTGAAATCCACATAAACAGAAAGGAAGAGAACCAATTCCAGAGTTGTCCTCTGACCTCCATAAGCCCCCCCCCATCCATACACATACAAAATAATAATAGTTTTTCAAAGGTTTTAAAGATTGAGGTCTCCCTATACTGACCAGGCTGTGCCTGAATTTACAATCCTCTCTGGGATTACAGGTCTGCAACATTGCTAGGCACAGAGTCACTTCTCAGTACACCTTGGTCGTTCTTTCCCAGCTTCTTCACAGGGAGGATTAATAAGATTGGCTTCAAATCCAGCTACTCGTCATAGCCAAAAGATCTCAAACACAAGGAATGATCAACAAAAGCCAGAAGCTCTATCACACAGCTGCTTCAATAAACAAATCACAAGAAAAATAGAACAAGCACATATAAATTGAAGAGACTAAGAACCACCTCAGTTGCCAGGGTGTTATTGGTGCACACCCTCAACCCCAACACTTGGGAGGCAGAGGCAGGTGAATCTGTGAGTTCCAGGACAGCCAGGGCTGTTACACAGAGAAACCCTGTTTCAGGGGAAAAGAGAGCCACCTCATCAGAATGCTAGTAAAAACTTCAGATGGGCATTTAAAAAAATTGGGAATTACACGTTTTGAAGCACAGTAACAGTACTGTAGATTACATGACTAGCTTTCCTCCCCCTTGTTTTGAGACATTGTAGCACAGGCTGTCCAAGAATTTGTAATCCTCCTGCCTCAGCTTTTTGAGTGTTGGGATTCACTCATACTTGGAACTTATGTTCAGAAAAAAAGCACTAAAATATGTATGAACAAAGTAACATTTCTGGAGGCTAAGGTATCAAGAGGTCCTGGACCAAATAGTCAGCAAAGCAAAACAAGAAACAACAAAGACATTTCCCGATATGTACCCTTCAAAATCCAGTATTCTACATTTTCTCCTTTAAAGTGAAGGATGGAGCTGGAGAGACAACTCAGTGGTAAGCATATTGGCTGCTCTTCCAGAGGTCCTGAGTTCAGTTCCCGACACCTACATAGCAGCTCGCAACTGTGTACAACTGTAACCCCCTCAGATTTTATGCCCTGTTCTGGTGTACATTACATGCAGACAAAGCAACCAAACACCCAAATTAAAAAGAAGAAGCGGTAGCAAGCAGTAGTGGCTCACAACTGTAATCTTAGCACTTGGGAGGCAGAGGCAGATCTCTGAGTTCAAGGCCAGCCTGCCTGGTCCACAGAGTGAGTTCCAGGACAGTCTACACAAAGAAGAAACAAGGCAAGCTGACTGTAAAGGCTCATGTGTATAATCTCAGCATCTGATTAAGGCAGGAGGAGTCCTGCAAGTTCTGGGCTAACCTGGGTTATTATGCAAGGCCTTCTTAAAAACCAAATAAATGAATAGTTAATAATAAAATACAATGTGAAACAGCAAGAAGTCTCTGTGAATATCGTTACCTAAGTTTTGGTTTGGGACAGTTTTTGATTTTTTGAGACTGGTCTCTCAATATAGGCCTGACTGACTAGTCTTGGAACTTGTGGCAACCTACTGTCTCAGCCTCCCAGTGACAGTACAGGTGTGAGACACAACCAACTGAAATTCATTTTAACTGTTGGAAGCTGGTGATGAGTGACAGATTAAAGCCTCATACATATTTTCTCTGCAAATGATGTTTTTCTTCAAACTTTTTGATGAATTCTCAATTCAATTTTTTTGGGGAAAATTGCATTTACTTATTAAAATGATATACTTCATAACAAACACTACTTGCTATTTTTATTACGCAAAAAGACAAAATATAATTTTTAAAATAAAAATATGGTTTAAAATGTAATCCTACTAAAGTAATTTCCTGATTATTTCCTACCGTAAAAAAAAATGTGGTCAATTTGTAAGATAATCATCCCATGACATAAAATAATTTCCCTTGCCCGAGGTAGGGGCAAATGCCTCTAATCCTGGGACACACAGGAGGGGCAGACAGACCTATGAGCTTAAGGCCAGCCTGATCTACAGAATGAGTTCCAGGCCAGCCAGGGCTACAAACCCTGTCCCAAACAAACAAAAAAAACAGAGCAACCCTTCCCTTAAAGGGAAAATTCTTCCCCAGTGCATCCTCTATATGAGCCAACAATGGAAAATTTTCACCTTAACAAGCCAGCCTAGGAGCCAGCCCATCCTTGTTGCCTGGATACCAGGGACATCTCTGGGGCTTACAGAGGCCCTGATCCTCCCTGAAAAGGAGACTATGCTTCATCAGTCCACAATTACTCCCCCTGGCCTATTCCAACATTCAAGTACTTGGTTGTATAGACCAAAATCTGTCTCCTAGGAAACTCCAAAGCACAAAAGCAGTCTATTCCATATGCTAAACTGGTGTCTACAATTATAACAGGTCTAGTCCTACTTCTTATGCACTTGAATTTTACTATTAAAAAAAAAAAATCAGAATACAGGTAAACCAGTCTGAGTAACAATCAACATTTCAATCAACTTGATCTCAAAAAAAAAAAAATTAGGAGGCAATTAAATGGACTGTCCATGTCAAATATAAATATTTTATATTTCTATCTGTGACAGAGGCTGAAATTTAAACAACAAAACCCTGTAATTATACACTCTCCATGACAACTTAGTAAATAAGCATCTTCCTTCTCTTATAAAGTCATGGGGGGAAAATGCAAATACAGCAAACATTTTAAATACTCAACAAAACTGCTGTAAACAAGGTCCTTCAGTCTGCAACATTTTTGTTATGTTTAAAAGCTCAGTATTTTTTTCCCTTTTGGATCTTTTGATAAATATTTATTCTTTGACAATTTCAAACATGTATACAATGTACTTTGATCATATTCACTCTCTGGCCTGTTATTCTCCTCCCGCTTCCTCTAGACCCCTACGGTACTCCTCAAAACTATTCGAATTTATTTTGTTCTTGCTCTATATACATTTTGCTAACAGCATTATTTACAAGCGATGACTAGCTCTATTTCCTTTGGCGTGCAAGAAGCACTAGATTTCACTAGTTCTTACATTTTGCACTCATTTTTTTCTGCTAGTACAGCTTTCCTAATATTTAAGAGAAATTAAAATCCTAAAATGAAACAAGTCGTTAGGAATGATGCAGAAGGCAGATGCGGTCTTGTTGTTAAATATGAAAGAAATAAATATCCCACTCGTGGTAGAAACATCAGTATTTAAAAGAAAGGCATCTTTTGATTCGTTTTAATGTCTTTAAAAAAAACAAAAAACAAAAAGCAAAAAAGACGGGTTGGATGCGCAGATCTCCCCACCCCCAATCAAAGACGAGGTGACTGGCACAACTGACGTTCAATACCCAAAATGGCTGCACGTCTGCGGGCCCAGGTAACTAACAGTACCTGAGGATCAGGACTGACCCCTTCATCCAAACAGAGAGACCCCATCGCCAGTGACCTGGGAGGTCGCGGCCTGGGGACCGCAATGAAAAAAGAGATCCTGCCCACCGAAGACCCAGGGAGACCGCTTCAAAAACAGAAAGATACTGCGTCGTCCCCTACCCCACTGCAGCAGACCTCTTCGATGCCGGGGGACGATTCTGCCTTCCTCTCAGTGGGGAACTCTAGGCTCCCCAAGGACCACAGGATATAATGGCCCCGTGCAGAGGGAGCATCTTACTCCACAGAAACGGGGGGAGCCCGCTTCGCAATGACAGCTAGCGAACCCCTCCCCCAAGGGATCTGGAAAGCCCCCCAGTGATCAGGAAGCCCATCCGCTACCAGCACCGAAAACCTCTTCCCTAAAACCCCGGGGAGAAGGGCCACGGGCCCGGCGGGGCGGGCGTTACCTGCGGCCACAGCCCGGTCCCGCGACGCTTCCGTCCTATTGTTTCTCTTCGACCAAAATGGCTGCGGCCGCGCTCAGCCCCGCCCCCCGAGCCTCGCTCCCGGCGCCCCTCACTATTGGCTCGCACCCGAAGCCGCGCAAGCGGACTGGGCAGCCTGAAAGACTCTGTTGCTAGGGCGCCAGGATTCGCTTCGGGGGGCTTCCGGAATGGGTGGGGGAAGGGGGGAGCGCAGGAGGCAGGAGGCGGAGCGTTGTCCTGGTGACGAGGGTGGTCAATCGGTCTGTTGCGTAGCTGAAGTAACTGATGGGCAGTGTACCAATGGGTCGATTGCAGGATGCCTAGGATACGGGTAGATGGACAGGCAGTCCCGGTTTGCCCTACACTGGTTGTCAAGGACAACCGATATTCATTCTGTGACAAACTGCAAACTGCAAAGATGGATGTGAATAATCACACTGCATGTGAACAATCGCTAAGATGGATAAAGGGATAGTTATACAGAACGACAGAAGAATGATTATAGACGGGAGACGAATAAATCGCGGGTGGGAGGAGAGAACAGACTCCCAGAGGTTTTCTTCTGACCTCTGCAAAACCATTGTGACAGGCTTGTGTGTATGTGTATATGTGTATATGTGTATATGTGTATATGTGTATATGTGTATATGTGTATATGTGTATATGTGTATGTGTATGTATGTATGTATATATGTATATATATATTCCCCCCTCTCACACACACTATAATTTTTAAAAATGGTTATTTGACAGGTGAACAGATGAGTGGACAGGTAGACAAAATAAAAGCCACAGGGTAGTTGAAAGAGTAGTGGATTTAGAGTCCTCTGTAATATGGTGGGTCTACCAACCTCCAAAGCATAAAACTTACATAAGACCCCTTTGTCCCGGAGCCTGTGTTATTCAGGAGGGCTCTGGCCTGAGCGAAAAGTGTCAGTGTAGCCAGGAAAGACAAGGAATGCGCCGGGTACCACTGACAGTGGGAAGAACCTCCAACCTGTAAAAGGTCACTGTTGCAACCTGCATCCTGGGCATTTGCAAAGTGTGGCTCACACTTTTTTTTTTAAACCCAAGTGTTTATTGAGTACTTACACGCTGCAGGAAATACTGTAAACAGGAATATATATATATTTTAAATGCCTACTCTCTTAGAGGTAGACAAGAGAGACTTCCTGTCACCACCAGATTCCTTTTGGAATCACATGTGAGGCTGCCATGACTCTATCCTCACCAGGGTTCTTTGTTGTTTCATTTTTACATTTTTTCCTCTGTCTTTACCCACTTGCTTAGGCTTATTGTGTTGCTTTTAAAATATTGATCGATTGTACAGCAGTCTTCCTGCCACAACATCCCACATGCTGGGGTTTATAGGCATAAAGCAACAGGCCCAGTTTTCAGGCTCATGGCTTTAAGTGTCAAGTTCCTGTTAATTAACCCCACGAGGGTTTGCCCAGTTCAGACGCAGGGAGATCTCGGTGAATTTGAGGCCAGCCTGGTCTACAAAGCTACACAGAGACACCCTGTCTCGAAAATTAAAGGAGGAGGAGGAGGTCACTGTTTGACATGCCAGGGCTTGAATATCTAAACCCCTACATGTCTCTCCAGGTCAGTGTCACAGTTCCCTCCCAGTCCCTTGTTGTCCTTACCGCCTTCAGTCCACTCTCCACACATCGGCCCATGGATTAGCAGCCACTCCCCAAAGATGGTCCAAAGCCAGACAGATTCTCAGGATCCCCACACCCACCTAACTGCATCTCCTGTGTTGGCCTCCAACTCAACCCTGAAGTGTTCAAACACCCTGCCTTGTGCACCCTCTGGCTCAGTGGCTGTACCCAACACTCACTCTCTCATTTTAGAATGTAACCTCTCTCTGCCCCCGGCTCGTTCGGATTGTGTTTATCTGTTACCCTGCTCTACTTTTTCCCATAGCAAATCTCACTGAACGTTTTTCACTTTTTTCCATATAAGGTCTCATGCATCTCTCACTGATCTTCTGCTTCTGACTCCTGAGTGCTGGAATTACAGGTGGACCCTGCTGGCTTTTTGGTCTGTTTCTTCTGTACTGGGTATTATATCCAGGGCTTCCTATGTACTAGGTAGGCACTCTGTCACTGGACCATAGCTACAGCCCTCACATAATTTTTTTATTATCCTTAGTATCCTTACACAGTTCTGTGGGGGGTTGGTTGTTGTTTTATTCAGAGATGTATCCTGAGTACCTCAAATATCAACTAAGGTTCCAGAAATATCTGCAAATTGATTTACCTTTAAAGAAGCCACATGGTGTTCAGTGGTAAGTACGACAGAGGACATAAAAAGGGCAGTGAGAAGCTGGGGCAGGGGACAATGGAGACGCCATCCTGGGACTGATGGTTGTGCTGTGCGATTCCAATCTCAAGACTGTTGGCCTCCGACTAGGCTGGTCTCAGAGCGAGGCTTCTTCTTCCTCTAGCAGAACCAGAATTGGTTAGTTAGTTCTAAAAGCCCTGGCTGCAGGGTCTCCTAGGGCAGCCTCACACACTGAAGGAAATTCCACTCTTTTAAAATGCTTTTAATTATGTGCATTGGTGTTTTGTCTGCATATATGTCTGGATATATCCCTAGAACTGGAGTTACAGATAGTGGTGAGCTTCAATGTGAGTGCTGGGAGTTGAGGCTAAGTTGTCTGGAAGAACAGCCAGTGCTCTTAACTGTTGAGCCATCTCTCCAGCCCTGGGAATTTCACTCTTTAATGAACAGCTTCAGACACTCAGAAGCATTAACCCTAGAGCCCCACACCCACCTTGCATAGCCAGCCATTCCTGAGATGAGCCAATCCATAAGTATAACATATTCCTCAGCAAAGTAATGTGATAACTGCCAAACTACACAGACAGGAGCCCATCACAGCTGCCTTACTTGACAAGACCTAAACAACCAGGCATTGTGACATTAAAAACACTGACCACGCTGAGCAGTTGGTACAGTGCTTGCCTAGCATGCCTGGTTCGGTCACAAGCATCTATGAACTGAGTGTGGTGGCACACCCCTGTAATCCCAGCACTCGGGAAGAGAAGCAGACGGGTCAGAAGTTCAAGTTCAGGGTCATCCTGGTCTATTTAGCAGGTTTGAGGTCCAGGCTACGGGAGAAGTCCTTGTTAAAGAAAGAAGAAAGCCTGCTTGATGGCCTGCATAGAAATCCCACCATAAAAGCAGCACTTTCCTATGTGTGTGCAGAATTTCTCCATCCTCGCCATTGTGCATGTACCATGGTAGTGTATCTGATAGATTTTGTCATTACAGCTGCCTCTCCCTCCTCTTCCCTCCCCTCCCCCTCCCCTCCCCCTTCTTTGAGAAGTCAGTCAGCAGATTCAGTTTGACCTCAAACAGCAAGAGCAGACTTTTATTGGTCTGAGAGGTTGATGGCCCCAAACCCCATGGCTTAGTATGCACAGGGTACAGGAGAATGAGCCTGTCTGAGAAGCAGTTTTTATGTTGGGAGTAGGGAGCAGGAGGGACTAATAAAGTCAGGCCCAGAAACTACTTTTTGGGTAAACAGTTTTTTGAAACTGCAGGATCGGAGACAAGCCCGATTGCCTATATTTGTGACTTCCAGGCTTCAGGGTGTGTGATGGCTTGGCTGCTTTAAGGACACCCATGGGCAGTGGATTTCTTGGAGCCTTGGGTCTGATTTATGGCTGTTTTGTTGTTTTGTTTTTTGGGTGGGGAGGGGGTGCTCTTTCCTTCTTTTTTGTTTGATTTTTGAGTCAGGGTCTTACTCTGTAGCTTTGACAACTCACTGCATAGCCCAGGCTGTCCTCAAACTGGAGTCAGTCCTCTTGCCGTAGACCAGACCACTGGGATTAAGATCACGAGCCACTGCAGTGAAGTGGATCTCCTTCTGCCTTCTCTCATGGCAAACTCTTTCACAACCTATCCAGCCACCAGCTGTCAATCCTGTCCCCAAGAGCAGCAAAGACTAGCCCCAGGGTTGGGCTCAGAAGTCTCCACCCAAATGTCATCAATAGATTGCTAGGAAGCCTAGCCCAGTTTCTGCCTCTGGGTGTCAGCACCTATGACTGCAGAGTAGAGGCCCAACAGGCACCAGGCATTCAAGTCCTCTACCTGCTCCCATCCAAGCCTCCATCCCAGGGCTCCTCCACATGGAGTGGAAAGCTGGACAAGGTAGCCCTAGCATAACGAATTCACTCCCATTCCCTCTGCTAAGTTACTTAGCAGACGTGGACTAGACCCTGGGAATGTGGCAAGAATGGATTTAGCAAGAATGTTATTGAATGATGGGACTTCTGCCCTGTGAGGCCATGTGGGGGATGGATTCAATAGACCATAAAAGAACAAACCTTAATTCCCAGGCAGGGGGCGCTGCCTCTGAGCAGGTGGTGGCTGAGCTGATTAACTGGAAGGGGCCCCACGACAGCACAGGTGCAAGGCAAAGACACAGGGAAGAGTTGCTTGGCAGGGTGAAGGAGTGTGGCCTAGTGAAAAATAGCCCCAAGCTCCAGGGAAAGATGCACACTGCTAGAAGGCATTAGGTATCCTGGATCTCAAGGTCAAACCCAGGCAAATCGTAGGAATTCCAAAGGAGAAAAAAAGGACTGTGGAAACAAAAGACAACCAACTAGTCAAATTACAGAGGCAAACATCTGTGGTAGGAAGAAAAGGCTGCCCCAGCTAAGGGGAAAGGAAAGGAAAACCCTTTGAATGTTTTAAATTTATTTTTATTTATGAGCAGTGCCCGCGTGTCAGGGTGCACACCGCATATATGCAGGCACCCGCAGAAGCAAGAAGAGGAGTCTAACCCACGTCTCCACAAGAGCAGCCATTCCTCTCAGCGGGTGAGCCATCGCTCTAGCCACACAGGAAGGGGGCCAGGCAACCCCAAACCCTTTTCTATACCACAGGCACACAATGGGCCCACCAACCCCCAGCTAAGGGAGAGTCCTCAGTCCTACCATCTAGAAGGGGACAGTAGCAGTCTGGACAGAAAGAGTGGGAGTCTGTGGCCAGACCAAGGGCACTCGTCTGATCTCAGAAGCTAGGCCAGGTCAGCACTTGAACGGAAGGAGGGGAAATGAGGGTACCTTGAGAAGAGGCAGCGCCTCACCTCACTCCAGAGACACCGGAGCCCTCACACCACTGAGTCAACT